TTAAAGATAATAATAAATGGTGCTAGCAGGTGCCTGCACAAGGACTTCTGCATTAGTCAAACTAGTGAATCCAAATGTAAGCAAAAATATAAAGGCACATTGCTACTGTTGCACTAGCGCAACCAGATGCACCACTGTCCCTTTTCCAGTGTCTGATGGCACTTTCTAAGACAAGATCTTAGGCCTTGAGTCATTTCCTTTCTTGTGGTGGAATCACATCATTCTCCCACTCTTACGACTGGTCTGTCTGGACTCAGTATCTGCAGATCTTCTGTTCAGGATCTTGGGATCAGATAGTTTTCTTAAAATAAATTATTGTTTAATCTTAACAGTAGGAGCAGACAATAACAAGAGAGAGAGATTTAAAAGCTAAAGAAGACTTACTGCACATCTGTCTTAGAATCTTAGGCAGATTTATCCTTCTCCAGACTCTTCTAATCTGGGTTTTCCTTATCTCTCTCTTCTTCTCTCCTAGAGTGACTGTCCTAAATTCAGCCATCATTCTTTGTTTTTTGATCTCATGCACCTGGACCTGCTGCCCAAAATGCGTTTGGGGAGCTCTGAAGTAGACTGGGCCAGACTCCTAAAGCAAATGGCATTTTCTTTCAAGTGTTTGCTGAAAAGGATATACCAGGCTTCATTTCCACCTTCCTGTGTGCATTGCCTGACAATCCTGTGCGCAGCTAGCATAGCTACTGTTGAAAAAAACAAGATAAAATTCCTCCTAATCTGAACATGTAAGACACTGGTTAAATGTGTGGCAAATTGCCTTCTAATGGCTGGTTCTCTAGAGGATTACATCCTACTACAGCTACTAGTGACAGTTACCCATTTTGTTCAAGGCTGTGTCTAGACTGCATCCCTTTTTCGTAAAAGGGATGCAAATTAGACATATTGCAATTGCAAATGAAGCGGGGATTTAAATCTCCCCCACTTCATTAGCATAAAAATGGCTGCCACTTTTTTCCGGCTCGGAGCTTTGCCGGAAAAAAGCGCCAGTCTAGATGCGGATCTTTCGGAAAATAAAGCCTTTTCCGAAAGATCCCTTATCCCTTAAAATGAGGGATGTTTTATCCCTCTTAAAATGAGGGATTCATTTTAAGAGGGATAAGGGATCTTTCGGAAAAGGCTTTATTTTCCGAAAGATCCGCATCTAGACTGGCGCTTTTTTCCGGCAAAGCTCCGAGCCGGAAAAAAGTGGCAGCCATTTTTATGCTAATGAAGTGGGGGAGATTTAAATCCCCGCTTCATTTGCAATTGCAATATGTCTAATTTGCATCCCTTTTACGAAAAAGGGATGCAGTCTAGACACAGCCCAAGTGTTAGAGGTCTGTGGTGAAGATCCCAAGGTTAAGAGCTGATGAAGACCTAGAGAAGGGGGTGCTACAAGAGTTGAGTGGAAAATCAGAATTTCCATCCTGTAGAAAATTCTGATGTTTAACATTTACTTCTGTCCTGAAGCACAATGAAAAATTGAAGCATCAACATTTTTCTATGAATTTGAAACATTCCAAAAATGCTTGATTTGGAAATGTTGAAGTATTTCACTTCATTTTGATCTGTTGAACTGACCAGAATTGTTTCATTTTCGAGTCAGTTCATCCTTAAGCTACATGTCTTTCTTGTGGTGCGTTGCCTCAGGAATTTAGTACCCCACATTCTTCCTATGGGCCAACTTTCCTGGCCAGATTACATTGCCCACAGTAGAGTAGTTGATGGTAAACCTGGGTAAACAACGCAGATTCACTTCTCATACAGGCTATGTCTACACTACATGCTTCTTGCGCAAAAAGCCTTTTGCACAAGACTTTTTGCACAAAAACTTCTTGTGCAAGAGCACGTCCACACCTCAAAGCACATTGCAAAAGCCATGTGCTTTTGCACAATAGAGTATCCACACAGCATGGACACTCTTGCGCAAGAAAGCTCTAATGGCCATTTTGTGAATGGCCCTCAGAGCACCTGTGCTTTTTCCTATAGGAAAATGTCCAGATTTACCTTCTTGCACAATAGCTGTAGCGCTAAAAGCAGTTATGCTCTAAAAAGGAGGTTTAGCTATGGTGGAAAAAGCCCTCTCTTCTGCCATTTAACTGCCCATTTAATTGCACAAGAGCTCATTTGAGGTGTGGACGCTCCACAGGTTTTTGCGCAAAATCTTGTAGTATAGACGTAGCCTTAGGGAATATGGAGTTTCCTTTAGGTTAGTTTACCCCCATTTTCCTTTTTTACCATTACACTTTAGACTTCCTTCCCCTCATGGACCTTTAGTTAGCAGGGCCGGCTTTAGGCCAATTCGCCCGATTCCCCTGAATCAGGCCCCGCGCCTAAAAGGGCCCCATGCCCTAAAGCCAGAGGGCTCCGCGTCCTAAATCTGGAAGTGTGCTGGGTGCTCTGCGGGAGGGGGTGTCAGCCCCGGAGGAGGAGTGCGGTGGCTTCTGTGCGCTGTGGGACAAGGAGTTGGGCCCCTGGGTTTGGCTGGAAGGCGGGATACTGCCCTGTAGATGGTGTGTGATTTTTTTTTTTTGGTCAACAAAAAATCCTGGCTGCCGGGGACCCGTTGAAACGGTTCTAATTGGGTCCCGCACTTCCTAAAGCAGGCCCTGTTAGGGTACTTTTATGATGTATCATGCTCAGTCAAAGGGTACACTGTATTCCATCACGGAAGATGTAGTCTGGACAGGAAGCTCAGCTCACAGGAGAAAACAAGAGCCCACTTCCATAAAGTAATGTGCCACAATTAGGAAAATGCAGTTTAATGGTGAACTGACTCCACACAAAGAGTCCTGGCTTGGTTCTACATGGCCAGATATTCAGAATCATGTCAAACCATTCTGAAATAAAACATTCCATTTGTATAGAAAATCAAAATGGCAGCTTAACTGATAGTCTCCTGTGGAAAATGCCGATTTTGTGCAAAAAATGAGTTTTCCATTGGAAAATAATTCCATCAAAAAAATCCCAACTAGCCCTACCTGCTACAGAGATCCAACTGACAAAGCAAAACAAAATGATGGTTTGGAATGTTTCTTCTTTTCTTCAAGTTTATACATCTGCCTTCATTGTAATGAAATTCTCTGCATGTATACCCGCCTCTTTTGTTATGCAAAAGGTAGTTTTGGTTTATACGGGAGGAACTTGCAAAACCAGATCAAAACGGTGTGGTTTAAACTGTGAGTAAAATCCAGCCCTGTTAAATCATTTTAAAAAATGAGATAAAAAGTTTCTTCCTCTCCCCATGTTTTCATTCCTTTAGGGGTGAAGCCTGTGGTAGTTTTACACTTTAGCAGGGCCATGATTTGATCCAAAATGCATCTATTACTCTCCCCTGTCCCTAGCAGCCTACAGAGAGATACATGCGGAGTGTCGCTCTTGTTCTAGGTTTAAAATGTTTCTGTCAAAGCCTTGCAAAAGTGACAATAGCTGACATTTCAGGTGCTGTGGAAGGTACAGCCTGCTGCTGGGTGGGGAGTGAAGAGAAGAGTGAAACCCTAAGGTTTTCCTTGTACATTTCTCTCCAAATTCCATTTGGAGGTGTGGAGGGTGGTAGCGTGTCCTCTTTTAGGCATAAAACAAAGAAAGGAGGGCTCAAATCCGAAAGAACTGCTCTTGTCCAAGTAGGCAAAGGGCCTGCGGTAGAAGATTAGATTCAAAGTTTTGTGAAAAGAAGCAAAGTAGTTTTGTCACTGCCCTTCTCCTAAGTGCAACTGTCCATGGTGGATTGTAAATAGGTTAAAACTTGAGGGGGGCAATTGAAGCGTGTCTTCTCAAGCCTTTCTTCTAACTGCATTTGAGAAATGAGGAAGTACAGTAGATTGAAGTTGAACTGTTTAACCAATCGGCTGTGTCTACACTGGCATGAATTTCCGGAAATGCTTAAAACAGAATAGTTTTCATTATAAGTATTTCCGGGAAAAAAGCGTCTACATTGGCAGGCTGCTTTTCCGGAAAAGCCCTTTTTCCGGAAAAGCATCTGTGGCCAATGTAGACGCGCTTTTCCGGAAAAGAGCCCCAATCATCATTTTCGCGATCAGGGCTTTTTTCCGGAAAAGACTACTGGGCTGTCTACACTGGCCCTTTTCCGGAACAGTGTTCCGGAATAAGGACTTATGCCCGAGCGGGAGCAGCATAGCTTTTCCAGAATAGCGGCTGATTTTGTACAGTAGAGCATCGTTGCTTTTCCGGAAATTCAAGGGCCAGTGTAGACAGCCTGCAGCTTAAGCGGCGAGGAGTCCTGTGGCACCTTATAGACTAACTGAAGTGTAGGAGTATAAGCTTTCGTGGGCAAAGATGAATCTGACGAAGTGGGTCTTTGCCCAGGAAAGCTTATGCTCCTACACTTCAGTTAGTCTATAAGGTGCCACAGGACTCCTCGCCGTGTTTAACGAATGTAGTCAGCCTGCAGTAAAAGCACATTTTCTCCACATGCAGCAAGCCAGGTGCTGGCCATGAAATAGCTGTTAACCACCCTGAGCAGATTTTGGATGGAAGTTCGGAAGCGTGGACCTTGTATTGCAAGTGTTAACTCGGTGGGGAGGTCTGTCTGTGGGTCTGTCTTGCGAGGCAGGGGCATCTTACTTCACTGTATTCCGCTTACAGCAGCGAGCAAGCGAGTAAGGCAGCAGCAGGGGACAAGGACACAAGTGTGTGAGTGGGGCACCTCCCTGCGGACGGGCTGTCGGGAATGCGCTGGGCAAGAGTGTAAATTGCCCAATGTACGACTAACCCAGCGTAGCCTTGTTTTGCTTTCTTTTCCCTAGACCTTTCCCCAGTTCTGCTGTGCGCGCTGAATCACAGGACTTCACCGCCAGGTCACCAACCCCCGGTAGTTCCCTGGGGGAATCTTTAACCGGATCCTCATTCTGCAGCGCTGTTGGCAAGGGGAGCGAAAAAGCGGCACTTCGGTCAGGCGAGAATCCACCCAGCCGCAAGGTGGAGGGGAGGAAATTGACATTTGGCAGCGCGCCCCGGCCCCTTCTTGGAAAAGCAAAGAGCGTAGCAGCGCGTTGTTACTCAGCCATCCCCATTCCCACGCCTGCGGCTGCGGAGGGGGAACCCTGGAAAGAAAGCAGCCCGGACCCGCCAGCCAGAGGGGCCACGTCCCGAGAGCAGCTCTGAAATGGAGAATGGCACCGATCCTGTCTGCGTTGCAAATGAGCCTCCGTATTCTCACAAGGTTCTAGGAAGTAAGTGTAAGAGTGTGTGTGTGTGAGAGTGTGTGTGAGTGTGTGTGAGTGTGTGAGAGAGAGTGTGTGTGTGTGTGTGTGAGAGAGTGTGTGTGTGTGTGTGTGAGAGAGTGTGTGTGTGTGTGTGTGAGAGAGTGTGTGTGTGTGTGTGTGAGAGAGTGTGTGTGTGTGTGTGTGAGAGAGTGTGTGTGTGTGTGTGTGAGAGAGTGTGTGTGTGTGTGTGTGAGAGAGTGTGTGTGTGTGTGTGTGAGTGTGTGTGAGAGAGTGTGTGTGTGTGTGTGTGAGTGTGTGAGAGAGAGTGTGTATGTGTGTGTGTGAGAGAGTGTGTGTGTGTGTGTGTGAGTGTGTGAGAGAGAGTGTGTATGTGTGTGTGTGAGAGAGTGTGTGTGTGTGTGTGTGAGTGTGTGAGAGAGAGTGTGTATGTGTGTGTGTGAGAGAGTGTGTGTGTGTGTGTGTGAGTGTGTGAGAGAGAGTGTGTATGTGTGTGTGTGAGAGAGTGTGTGTGTGTGTGTGTGAGTGTGTGAGAGAGAGTGTGTATGTGTGTGTGTGAGAGAGTGTGTGTGTGTGTGTGTGAGTGTGTGAGAGAGAGTGTGTATGTGTGTGTGTGAGAGAGTGTGTGTGTGTGTGTGTGAGTGTGTGAGAGAGAGTGTGTATGTGTGTGTGTGAGAGAGTGTGTGTGTGTGTGTGTGAGTGTGTGAGAGAGAGTGTGTATGTGTGTGTGTGAGAGAGTGTGTGTGTGTGTGTGTGAGTGTGTGAGAGAGAGTGTGTATGTGTGTGTGTGAGAGAGTGTGTGTGTGTGTGTGTGAGTGTGTGAGAGAGAGTGTGTATGTGTGTGTGTGAGAGAGTGTGTGTGTGTGTGTGTGAGTGTGTGAGAGAGAGTGTGTATGTGTGTGTGTGAGAGAGTGTGTGTGTGTGTGTGTGAGTGTGTGAGAGAGAGTGTGTATGTGTGTGTGTGAGAGAGTGTGTGTGTGTGTGTGTGAGTGTGTGAGAGAGAGTGTGTATGTGTGTGTGTGAGAGAGTGTGTGTGTGTGTGTGTGAGTGTGTGAGAGAGAGTGTGTATGTGTGTGTGTGAGAGAGTGTGTGTGTGTGTGTGTGAGTGTGTGAGAGAGAGTGTGTATGTGTGTGTGTGAGAGAGTGTGTGTGTGTGTGTGTGAGTGTGTGAGAGAGAGTGTGTATGTGTGTGTGTGAGAGAGTGTGTGTGTGTGTGTGTGAGTGTGTGAGAGAGAGTGTGTATGTGTGTGTGTGAGAGAGTGTGTGTGTGTGTGTGTGAGTGTGTGAGAGAGAGTGTGTATGTGTGTGTGTGAGAGAGTGTGTGTGTGTGTGAGTGTGTGAGAGAGTGTGTGTGTGTGTGTGTGAGAGAGTGTGTGTGTGTGTGTGTGTGTGTGTGTGTGCGCGGGCGGGGGATTTTCCAGGGAGTTAGTAGTTGACAATGTGTCCGCACTGAAAGACTGCACAGCTACATCCCCGAGCCGTGGAGTCCCGTTGTGTGTAGTGACCTGTAAGCGGAGGAAGCTGGGTTGCAGTTTGAAAGGGATTCCAATCATGAAAACCCCTACCCCAATGCCCCTCCCCGGCCAAGGGTGTTACCATGATTATTTTGGAGGCAATTTTTTTCTTAGTACTAAAGTAGTTCACCAAAGCCTGAGATGAATCTGGGGAAGCGATGTTCCCATTCTTGGTAGTCCAAATCCCACTTAGGTATCTGGAGGTGGATCAGTCATGTACCTTTTACTGGAAGGGCTCTCAATCTTCATCTCTTTGCCCAGGGCTCTTACTCCTCCATCATCTTAGGGGTGGGGGCTTTTCCGGTAACATGGCTTCTGTGATCAAGGCTGGCTGTTAAGACCATATCCTAGATACAGCTTTGAAGGGGGACTGCCTTGACACAGGGCATAGGGAAGTGGGTGCTTTGTGCACTGGCTTTGGTGGGGGGAGTGAGGCTGTCAGTCTAGTTGGCCTGAGTGAACTAGGGGGGAGGGGGTCAAAGCTGCTTTCATTCTAACATTCTGCTGTTTAAGTTGTTCTTGAAAAAAGATACATTAAGACAAAAATGACACAAAAGTGACATGAAGGGATGTGGTAGCACAGGCAGCAGGTGAAAGTGCCTGGGGGGGGGGCTAGGCCCCCACCCCCCCCCCCCCCCCGTCGTCCCCGCCCACCCAAAGCTCAGGGCAAACCCAGCCCCTGGGCCATGTGCATCTTCCCCTGTACCCACCAGCCTCCGCTCACTGGGTGGGTGGTGTGACTGGAGCACACCAGGCCCCAGGGTGCCAGGCGGGCGGCTCCATTGCCAGGAGAATGGATGGGTGGGGGTGGGGGGCTCCACCTGCAAGGTCTTGTGTGCACTGGCCCCAGCTTGCCTGCCCCAGCTTCTGGCCACAGAAGAGAGGGAAGGGAACTGTGAGCAAGGAGGAGGGAGCCTGGGAGTGGAGCAAGGACAGGGCCATGCAAGGCTGTTTGGGGAGGCATAGTTTTCCGCTGCCTTTGCTACCCAGCGCCCATGTGGAGGAGTGTGAGGGTTTTCAGGGTGCATTCTACATTTAGGTGCGTATCCCAGCTCATGCAGATGTAGTCAGAGGCTACACACCAGAATCTAGGGGGACCCAGGCTAGTAGATTTTGTGAGCCCCCACCTCAGGCTTTGGGGTGGGGCCAAAAATGAGGGGTTCAGTGTGTGGGATGGGGTTGCTGGGAATCAGGCTGGGGGCTGGATGGATGGGGATGCAGGAGAAAAGTGGGGGTGCAGGGTTTGGGAGGGAGGTAGGATGCGGTAGAAGGCTTTGGGTTGTGGGATCAGGGAGGGTGTTAGGGTGCAGAAGCAGGCTGGTGCTGTGGATTCTGGGCAATGCTGGTGCAGGGTCCACACTGCTGGGGGGGGGGGGAAGCCCCAAGCCTCAGGGCCCAGATCCAGGCAAGCTTGGGGGTCAAATCCAGCCCCCAGGCATTTAGATTCCCCACCTCTGGTCTACAAGGATGTGGGTGGCCTCTTAGGCTAGCACAATCCCATCCGGCTCCTGGTGGCTAGCTCAGGCTGCAGCAGACACGCTGCTAGTTTTAGGTGCTAGCTTGAGTAGAGTGAGCATGTAGCATGTAGAGTGCTTACCAAAGGCTCTTGCAGTCAGGATGTATTAGTGGCTAGTCAATGACAGCAGACAATTAAGCAGAGCAGTTTGGCGAATAAAGGCCGACTTGACAAACTGCATTTCTGTTTTGTCCTTGTTATTTTTTTCAATACAGAACACAATCCAATAGGGAGCACACTTTAAATCATGTCAGCATTGGCTTATCTCTTACCTCTGAACTGGCACAGCATGAGAAAGAGGAGAATTTTAGAGTTTGTGAAGACAGTGAGCCAGAATGTGAGGGCTGGCAGAAGAAAACATGCCTTATTTTTTCCTACTGGAGGATTGGAGGGTCTGAAGAGACTGTAGACTCAGGATTGGTCTACACTAGAAAATGATATTGATCCAGCTCCATCCCTCGCACTCCTGAGCAATGTGGTTAAACCAACTTAAGTCCCAGTGTAGATAGTGCTAGGCTGACGGAAGAATTCTTCCATGGAATTAGCTACTCCAGCTTTCGGGCAGGTGGATTACCTATGCTGACAAGAGAACCCCTGCTATTGGCATAGATAGCTTCTCCAGGGAAGCCCTACAGCAGCTCCGCCTATGTAACGTTTCAGTTGTGTATAAGCGCTCAGCTGAATTACCGAGCAAGCGTAAGAAAGCACATGTCAGTGCATGGCTCGTCACAACTCAGCTGGCATCTGATTGGATGTTGCAATTGTTACCACTTCCAGATTGGAATCTTCAGTCTGTTTGACGTAAGGATTTAAAACTGAAGCTTGTGGAAGTTGTTGGTGCAGTCAGAGCAATGAGTTTAGAGAAATTAAACAATCTTTTCCTACTGCCCAGCATTTTGTGGGGTCCATTACAAAATGCTTGGCCAAAAGGTTTGTAGGGCTCAGAAAAAAGCTGAGACATTTACACAGATAACGAGAACATCTGCAGATCTGACATGCTTGTTTCATTTAGCATTAGATGGGAGCTCTCGTACTTGAGGTTAAGACTAATTGATGGGGTTAGAAAGAAATGCCCCAATTGGGCAGTTTATTCTACAGTCGTCTACTGTGTAGTTTCTGCTCCGGATGCATGCAGTGCTGAGAGCCTACAGTGATGGAAGAGCAGAAGTTAGATGGGCTACCACTTTGGCCTGACAGCATTTCCAGATCTCGTCTGGAACACAACACAGCTGCAGTATTTCCTGTAAAAGCCTAACTTCTTGGATTTCATGGCATTATGTACAGCTGCTGTCTGGAGTGCCTTGCTTAGTTATTATTCACACTTAATCTCCTAGTCATGTTCACAGTGAGTAACTGTTGGCAGCTATGCAACTTCAACAGCCAAGAGAGGGAGGCAAATGCCCTGACTGGGTAAGTCCTTGTTAAGGGCCTTTTCTCAGATTATGATTTATCATATATAACAAAAGGATATCAACAACTCAACTGAAAATGCTAGGTGACAGCAGTCTTACCTGTGCTCCCATCCTCAGCTTCCTTACATACCCTGCCCAGCCATTTGATACATAGGGAACCCTTTGGCTTAACCCTTTCTAGACTGCTGCTTTACCTGTTCCTAGTGGTTGTTCTGTAGACTTGCGATGATGCAGACGTCTGCATGAAACAGAATGGCTAATGAAAAAAGGAATTATGTTGCAGTGCTGTCCTGCTTACACAAGACTGTCACAGCATATGGCTGTGGGCCTGCTCACTGCTATTTCTGTCAAACTTCAGGGCAGCTTGGAGGCTCAAGCTTCTTTTTTTAATGAATTTACATTTATTAATCAATCATTCAGTGATATAACTGTGCGGTAGGCTTTCTAGTACACATACAAAGCAAGGCTTTTGCCTTACATCTAAGCTCACACAGAATGTGTTCAGTGATGCTGGTTGGGAATGGAAGACAAAGGCTATGCAGATAAGATGCGTTTCATTCAAAAATCCAATGACTAAAAATAAAATTTTGCTGAAAACCAGATCAGGTTTGTTCCAATGGTTCTCTCCCCCCGCCCCCTGTGTACTCAGTGCCTAGCTAACTGGGAATCCCTGACTGGGTCCCTCCAGCACTAAATATTTGCAGACCAGACTGAATTCAAGTTAGGAACAGGCATTTCATGCTGCTCTAGGAAAGGCCAAGGAGGAAGTAGACTTGTTTATGGTATTTAGTGGGAAAAGGAAAACTCAGGCTGAATGGCAGGAAAAGTACCTAATGAGATCAATTAGAGTCTGAAATTCTGAGCCAGGGATTCAGAAGACTATAATGGCAGATGAACTCAGGCAACCTAAGTAAATTGCTGTGCAGCAGGGCAACATCATTTACTAGTTTAACATCTAGGGCTTGGATCGACCAGCCTGAACGCAGGGGCCTCCCTTTGGCTAGACTGCACATACATTCCAGTTTATGCATCTTATTAAAGCCTTTGTCCATTGTTCCATTTTGACACACAGAGTTAATGATCAGCAAAGACAGTTTTTGTTTTATTGAATCAAGGCAAATGTTCCTTGCCGAAAGGCCATGCTAAGGCATCTGCTGAAAAACCAGCAAAAGCAGGAGTTTTACAAGTTGGTGTTTGGTGTAAAAACATTCAGACGCTGCAAACTAATTACTGCGTGTGTCCTGTCCGTGGCAAGCAGAACAGAGAGCAGGACTAGACATTACTTGCCAATGGAGAAACTAAATATAGTCAGCAAACTTCTGAGGAGAGACGCAGCTCCCTCTAACATCAGCGGGGAATTGTGCATGCTCAGCATCCACGAGGAGCTGGTCCTATGAAAAGGGAAATAAGACTTTGTTAACTGTTATACAGAGGGTTAGCAGTTTTCCTGTTGCACTAGATGTCATTCTGCCAACTTCAGTGCTGTTCCAACTGAGTTATCAAAGTCACATGAGAAAGGCTCATGTCCCAATCTGGTCTTTCCAGCTTTTGAATATACTGACCAGTACATTCCCAGAGCAATTTATACCTTGACCAGAAATGAATGCAACGAAGCACTGTGCAGTCCAGCACTTCTTACTTCTTTGAGTGGCAAAGAGAGTGCGAGAATCTGTCCTTTGCCAAGTGTTGCTAATCAATAAGCCTTCATTGAAGGCTTGACAGTGGGTTCCTGGCCTTGGTAAAGTAGGTTGCCAGGATGCTGGCTTCACTGTTGCTCCAGTTGGGGAGGGGGAGGGAAAGACGAGCATGGTCGCTCCTTCCTGCTTGCAGCCAGGATAGTGTTTGGAATGGAAGATGGACAACTACTGGGAGAGAAAATGAGAGAATCCTGTTAAACTTTACATAGCTCCATTGACCCAAACCTTCCAGTGACATTGGTGTAGATTCAAAGAATTTCCATCTTGTCTATAGCCCTGTCTAAGCAAGAAGGTAAAGGTGGTTTTGTTTTTCAGCTGAGTTATCCTAAAATGTCTGGGGCACTAACACAGACACCATTAGACACCTTCTTGAACCCTCTATAGCCTAGAGCAGTAGTTCTTGAACTTTAGCAACTCGAGGACCCCCATTTTGAATTAAAACGTGTATGCACTAAGATGAATATGAAGCTCGAAACCCAAAGCCTTCAAAGATTTATTTGTTAGCTTAATCTGATGTACTATCAGGCATCCTACTGAAGTCAATGTCAGTGTGTTAAGAAAGCCTTTGCCGGTGTTTGGCCTAATACTTCTTTCTGAGGTGTTTGGTGCAAAAACATTCGGATGCTTTCCTACACTGAACATGTGTAATATAACCGGGTCTGGGAGCACCACTGAGAGGGCCAAATCAGGGTGAATTGCTTAGAAATAAGGCTACTTACAGCCCAAGTCTGGGGTCCCTCAAGTTTGTAACACTGTGCATAAAATAAACAGCTTCAACATCTTTACATGAGCTTTTCTTCTTGAACTAAAAGACATTTTTCAACTACTGTATACATTTAGAAAATAATGAAATTCAGCGTTAATGTAATGCAGTGTGTAACTACAGGTCCATGTTTAATTTCTGCAACGATCTCTAACCACAGTTCACTCACAAGTGATATGTGCCCACACAATATTTAGGTCCAGGGACATCATTTTAAAATGGAATCTCATCTTTAAACATATATGTTCCTGCTTTGGTGAATAGCAACTCCATATTGTGATTAAAATTGTCGTTAGCGTATACAGTACTGTGCACTTAGTCAAGTTACAAATTTGAATGTATGAAAGGTGAACATTAAATAAAATACAGGGCTGTGTCTACACTGGCATGAATTTCCGGAACTGCTTAAAACAGAATACTATTCCATTTTCAGTTTTTCCGGAAAAGGAGTGTCTACAGTGGCAGACTGCTTTTCCGGAAAAGCCCTTTTTCCGAAAAAGTGTCTGTGGCCAATGTAGACGCGCTTTTCCGGAAAAGAGCCCCGATCGCCATTTTTGCGATCGGGGCTTTTTTCCGGAAAAGACTACTGGGCTGTCTACACTGGCCCTTTTCCGGAACAGTGTTCCGGAATAAGGACTTATGCCCGAGCGGGAGCAGAATAGTTTTTCCAGAATAGCAGCTGATTTTGTACAGTAGAGCATCGTTGCTTTTCCGGAAATTCAAGGGCCAGTGTAGACAGCTCGCAGCTTATTCCGGAAAAGCAGCTGATTTTCCGGAATAAGTGGCCCAGTGTAGACACAGCCAATCAGCAGAGCATAAGCTTACAACAGACATCTCACTAGGCCCACTGCCAAGAATTTGGGGCAAACACATACAGTGAGTGCAACAATGATCTGCATGTTCATATTAAAATGCCAATTAGTTCACAACATGTTACACTTATTAAATAAAATGTGTCTTTTTTCTTTGTGCAGGCCTTGATTTAACAGGTATGTTCCTCTTTGCCATCTTGACTCTAATGACACTATTAGCCAACCTGGTGTTTGTAGAGGAAGTGTTCTATATCTACAGGAAAACCACCGCTTCTAAAAGGACGATTCTTATTTGGATAAATGCAGCAGCTCCGGTAAGCGGGGAAGAAAGACATTCAATCAAATATTGAAAGACTATTTCTCTAAAGATGCTGTAGTTAACACACAAATCTCTTTTATCTCTGCCATCCTCCTGTCTTCCGTCCAGGTGATAGCTACTACATCATGCATTGGGATGTGGATTCCTCGCTCAACAATGTTTACAGATTTCACTGCAGCAGTGTATGTATTCTTGTTTCTCTGCACCCTGAATTTCCTGCCTTTAAACAGCCTCTAGCACTAGGTAAACATAGTCATTTTGTAAATTTAATAATGGGTTTTTAGTTTGACATGAAATCTCTTGGCAGCTGGCTTAGCAAGGAGGGAAAATAATAATAATACAAAAATCTAATTTCCAGTACTGCAGCCCCTTTTGTGAGGGAACTGCAGAATGAAAGAATGTAATTGATCTCTTTGATTGGCAGCAGCCTTGAAGTAGTAGAGTTTTTCCTTTATCTCTCTCAATGCCATGTACAATGAGACTCTGACCTATGACTTTTCACTGTGCTTTTATTAATGATGAATCTTTTATTAATGATGGCAAGTGAACTTTCAATGAGTATATCAGTGTTCCACATATGTCCAGATAAACACTCTGTGTGAAGGTTTGACAGCTCTGACATGTCAATGGGAAGATGAAGAATTGAGGTCTCTGCTTCTTAGAGGTGATGGAGCACCTCCCTAACTTTGAAGCAGAGGCTGAAAGATTGAAAGCTATAGTATGGAGTTTTCTAAGCTCTCCAGGTGATTTAGGAACATAAGTTCAATTGGCAAGTCAATAGGAATTGTGTTTCTAACTCATATAAATATTTTTTGCAAATTTCCCCTTTATCTCCTCATTAATTTTTGGCTGCATTTACTAAGAGACCGAGATGGAATAATACAATGTGGAGCATGAGGCATAAGGGATCAGTTGGAAAAGGCTTTCCTTGTCGACCAATCCCTGTCTAGACTGCCACTTTTTGCCAGCAAATTGCCGCATCGGCAAAAAGTGGTGGCCATTTTTATTCTAATGAAGCGCAGGATATTTAAATCCCTGCTTCGTTAGCAATTTTGGTATGTCTAATTTACATCCCTCTGGTGACAGAGGGATGTAGTCTAGACATACCCTAACATGCTACAGGATTACTTATTGTTTTTAAAATGACAGACTAATATGGCTACCCCCTGAAAGTTTCAAATATGACTGTATTGGTGAGATCTCGGCCAACTAGTAGAAGAATATTACAACAAAGCAGAAGCAGCATAACCAAATAGATTGAACAGTAGGGTGGGAGCAAGGAACTCCTGCGTTGTAATGCTGATTCGACCATTAACATGGTATGTGGCCTTAGACAAATCATTTAGTTGCTCCATGTCTCTGTTTCCTAATCCGTAAAATGAAAGTAATACTTAATTCACCCCACCCCTGTGAAGTATTGTGTCTATACAATTAGCACTAAATATTACTATTCATAAAAGATGTTGGGAAATATCAACACTTCCAATTCCTGTAGCAGGATGGTTAAAGATACACATGGGCACTGGAGAGAGATACAGCTTGGTGTCTCTGCTGGTGTACAAAAAGCACGTGCACTTGGGCATGTTTAACCTGAAGTCTTTTTTTCCTCTGGTAGTTTTTTTGCCATTGTGATCCACAAGTTCTTGCTGATGATGATTAAAGAGTGTGGAGGTAAAAAGTTATTTCTCAAGCGATTTGAAAATGATCGTTTCAAGATCAGCACAGGTCCCTGCTGCTGCTATTGCCTTTGTCTCCCTTACGTACGCATCACTAGGTGAGTTGTGCTTTTGGGGTGGTGTCAGAAACCAACAAATTAGCAGAGCCACATGTATGATACTGGCTCTTTGTGTTTCAGAGAAAACTTGTACCCACTGTGAATCTCCTGCTTTAGAGTTGCCAGGTGTCTGGTTTTCTACTGGACAGTCTGGTATTTGCACCGTCGGTCTGCTAGAAAAATTCAGAAAATACCGGACATGTGCAATGTGTCCAGTATTTTCTGAATTTACGGCGGGGCGCCGGACCGAAGCTTGGCGAGGGCTGGGGAGCGACTGGGAGGCGGGGCGTGATTGGTGCTGGGAGCCTGTGGTCGCGTGCAAAAGCTGTGTGGGAAGGTGGGAGGAAGGCTGGCGGGGGCTGGCACTGCCAG